TCGTTGACCAAAGAGACGTGTTCCACTTGGTCGTAAGAGCAGAAATATATATTACTAGCGCGAATGAAGGAATTAAACACTATCCCTGGTAATAGAGCGCCGAAGGCTCTCTATTACTTTGGATAGTGTTTAATTCCTTCATTTTTTTTGCGAAATGGGAAACATGTATTTTGAGTACGCCCCCATTGAAATATGTGTCATATGGTGTCGAAAGTTTTAAATTTTTTAAATTAAAATCATTAGCTCTATGATTCCAAATGTGCCTAACGTTAAATCTTTTCTTGTGTCCCATTTTGTAAAGGTAGGAATACATTTTGAAATACTTTCCTCCAATAATCTGCGCTAAGGAGACATATTTCAAAATCAGGAATTTTCTTCTACTCAGGCATCAAACAGGTACTTCTGAGGGAGGTTTATATTTTCTGTCTCTGTTTCGTTGGATCAAAAAAGATTCAGGAAAATGAGACTGAAAAAAGTGTATTCATGGGTTTTCTTTTTCCTTTTGAAATGTAGACTCAGGGAACTCCATGCCACTCAGTTTCTGCCTTACACGTTTCCCATTTTTGCTGGCAGAAAAAATGTTATTGGAAGAGCGGCCCACCCAAAAGCTGTGCTCAGAGAAGCGCATCAAAATTTGAATTTTTCCGTAAATCAACATCCGATATGCGTGCGCCAGCTACTTTTCTATTTCTGCCCAATTTGATAGGATATGAAAAAAATTTTTTAAACGATGAGGCCTCAAGAAATATAAGCCCCAAAACTATTTTAGAAATTTTACCATTAACATTTGAGCTCGGTGCGTCAATGGTCACGTTCTTCCCAAGTTTCAGCTTTCCATGTGTCTCCGTTTGAAGCAAACAGAACTATTTGGAAATATGTTCCCCGAAAGATGTGCCCCTATGGTAGGGGTGGGCAATTATTTTGGCTAAAGGGCACTTCATGAGTCTTGATGAGCTTCGAGGGCCGCAAGCAGTGTAAGTCTTCAGCCCTGTTCTCACGTGTCGCTGTCAAATTGCTTCACTTATTACTATCCCAGTCTCACCCTATCAGTCTCACCCTATCAGTCTCCCCCTCTACGCTAAACCATGACTTGTGTCAGGTCACAGAGGTCACATCAGATGCGGCGAGCCAAAGAGTGGCCTTGCTGCTATGCCAAATCCCGCACAAATACCCGAGAGGGACGCTTTTTTTTCCTCCTATCTGCTGTATCTGCCCTATTTTCTTAAAGCCAGTCACAGTTTGGCAGGAGTCTCAACAGAGCCATAAAAAGGGTCACCAGGCCGGACTTTTTGTCTGAGAAGTCGCATGCTGAGTGATCTGTATCTTGGGATGATCCACCATCTCCCTAGCTTTAAGAAAATCGCCACTGAATCCGTCCTCAGGCTGTGGGTGTGAATGGCATTCAGAGAGAGGAAAGGAAGGGGAAGAGGACCTAATTATGACAAACGAACCAGGTCGGACTTTTTTCTGAGAAGTCGCATGCTGAGTGATCTGTATCTTGGGATGATCCACCCCCTCCCTAGCTTTAAGAAAATCGCCACTGAATCCGTCCTCAGGCTGTGGGTGTGGATGACATATAGAGGAGAGGAAAGGAAGGGGAAGAGGACCTAATTATGACAAACGAGCTAGCTCAGCAGCTGTGCGGATTAAAACTGGCCCTTTCTGGAACTAAAAGAACAAAAATGTTTCCTTTTGCTAGACATAATGGCGGGCCGGATGAAATCAATTGGCGGGCCGGATACGGCCCGCGGGCCGTATTTTGCCCACCCCTGCCTTAGGTACTTCCCGGCGCGAAGAGCTGCTTTCAAATATAATTCTTAGCGAAACCGATATTTCTCTCGCGGTTTCCTTGTAATATGTTCCTTATTCACCCGATTTGACCCCTTTTGTGACATTTTCTTGCTCCCAAGGACGAATAAAAATTCCGTCGTTGCCGACTTGAGAGCTCCGAAGATGCTGCGGTTGCTTACCGGGACACTTCGGTTGACCTTGTAGAAATGGATTGGCGCACCTGCTTTCATTCTTCATTTCGACAAATGCAATTGAGCATAGATACTCATGGTCCTCATGCAGAGATCCGGTGAGATGTTCAAGCCAAAACCTTCCTCAGGAAGAAAGCAGTTGCGAACTTTCCGGGCGACCTTCCCATTTTGGGAGGAATGAGTTTCTCATTAATAATCTGAGAAATTTCGCAAGGGTCTCCTCAAGTACTCGTTGATTTTCCCTATATGTGTCACTCCTATCCTCTTATTCACAGTGGATACATAATGTGCATACAAAAACGCCCTTCATGCACATATATATAGCTATCCACTGTGTTTCAAGTATCGTCAAAAAATGCCACAAACGCGGTGGCTTCAATGTGAGTTTTCAAATTACTCACCTTAGGGAAAGTTTCGGAAACGGAATGAAAGCAGCAACTTTCATGCAATCTTACATGCATTTTCCAGGTGATTGTATCAAACTGTGAATATAAGACGCATGTCAACACTTTTACGTCACATTAACATTCGAGGCCGAAACTGCTCTCGAGACTAACATTGAATTTCCCATTTGAAGTAGGGAAAAACCTTGGACTCCGAAAGGTCATTCGATCCACGAGACAGCCGAGTGATTTAGAAGGACAAGATACACGTGGGGATCGGAGCCCTTATCTAATCTTCGATCGAGTGGCAGCGAGCTCTCACTGTACTTATTGCCGCCGACGGCTTGCTCTCAGCATGTGAAAGCGAGTCTCGGCGACGAGGATCCTACGTTCCCACGGAGACGCGCTGTTTCTGGCTGCGGGCGAAAGGTAAGTGTTACGTTGAAACTCGCTTCACTGTCCAATATAGGATAGGATTGAACATGCAGGTATCGCTTAAGGTATAGTATATTTGCGTAGACGATTGTGAGTGGATGCGTTAAAGGGTGACGAACTCGCACTAACTCTAGCAATGTTTTAGATTTGATGAAAATGTGAAACTTTTCATGCTAGCAAGTGTTGGGGTGCTCGGATCAGAAAAAATCCAAAATTTGCAGCATAGCATCGTAAGGGTTTTCTTTTTTGTTGAACGGGTGGGAGGTTCCCATAATGGTTTTTCTCTTGAGAGAGGCAGTTCCGATTGCATTCTTGATTGTTCTTCCGATTGCGTTACAAAGGTAATGCATCAATGAAAAGTGTCGTTGCAGGATCATTGGAGGGCAACCAAGAATCTTCCACTCCTCTAAATAAATTTTCATATTTATTGTAGTTAATTCGGAATTCGGCATTTCACTTAGTTTTTCCTTTTGACGTACTGCTAGGGCTTTTTTGTCCTAGCAGTCGAATTAGACAATGCGTGATGACACGTCATGCTTGCTCCTTATGCCAGAAGTCAGGCAATATAAGATTTACAACGTTCCAAAGAAATTTAAAGGACGCTAATCTTATCAATATCGTTTAATATTACTGAGAGACCATCGACACAATAGCTTTCAAAACCACAAAATGACGTCCTTCGACCAAATAGAAATCTACAGGGTGTTTCTCTATGAAGCCCGGATTTGTTTTCTCGAATCCTTTTTTCGTACTGCACCGTTTCAGCTCGTCGCGCAATTCAAACTTCACCGATTGATGCAGTGGACGCTGTGAAAGCCCTGTTTGCGGACACCCCACACATTCCGTTATGCATCTCTGCGACTCTGCGCACTTGATCACTATTTCTGTTGAGTTTCTCTGCTCGGTTGTGGCGAAACTCGTTGCAATATTTCAGCATTGATCTGAAAATGCCTCAATTCTTGATCGAAGAACTTGAGCATTGTGTTTCATGGTAAGACGCGATTCGGAGTGCAGCTGCCCGCCCACGCAGCTTTGGCGGTTTTTAACTGGGGTTAATTCCGGTCAGGTGGCGATCAAAGAACAGTACGGGAAGTTATTTTCGTTCGTCGGGTCACCAAATTTAGCAGCAGCAGATTTCTTCTCGTGGGGTTCAGGGAAGAGCTAGGTTCCCACCGCTGATATCAGCCATCAGTTCAAACGAAACACAGTCGGCGCCTTCGCAGAGGTCGCGAGATTGCTTCCTGCAACCTAAGGCTGCGCAAGCGCGTCCGAATTGACGGTGTCGGGCTTAGCAGCGATTGGGTACCACTCGTGCTGTCTGTGTTTTGCTGCATACAAGCTTAAAGGAAGGTTTGACTTTTATCGCAAATGATTGAAAAAAAAGTGGCGCTTACGCCAGCTACCATATATATATATATATATATTTACCGTATATCGTATGCATCGAAAAAGTTTAAAGTGTGGATATCATGGGAAACTCCGCTCTTTCGAATGAGACATTAAGGAACTGAAACGGTGCAGTACGGAAAAAATTTATATAATGACAAATTCAATTCAGGCATCGTACAAAAACACCTTGTATACTGCACATTGGGCTTTGGGACGAATTTGACATCCGGTTTCAAATGCTACTTAGAATTCATATGGCATTTTCTCCAAAATGAAAGCCAGGAAGCCACGAATTGCATAAGAATGTTAACTAGTTCAGTTATAAGTGAGTATATTTAGGATGCAAGATTACTGCGAAAAAAATTGTCGGTCTGGTTAAATATTTAAAGTATTTTCCTTTCGATTTCTTATGCATTGATATTGGATATTTTTTCAATACCTTTATCCGTTTCGTGGCTTATTAGAAAGGAAGCAGAGTAATAAAGAGAGGCCTACTCTCTTAGCTGAGTGAAACGACCGACACCAACTGCGCCTCAGACTCAGACATGTAGTTTAACGCGCCATTGCTATATAACTTGCTCGCGCTATCTCTCGTATTATACGAATGCGATAGAGCAGTAGCATTCCGTTTCGGCTTCCGACGTGGACCCCTCCATCCCGGATGACAAATAATATTAGTCATTGATAAAGCACGGACTTCCTTCGTGCTATCTCTGAAATCGACCTCCGAGCAATTGTACCACGTCTGTACCCTGTTCCAGTTGGCTGCAGTCGACTTGGTAGGCGAGAAAACTCGAATCGAAGGGGGGAAATGTCTCAGAGAGGATCGTGGCGCCTCTGGGACAAGGTGGTGCAGACCCTGGGCGGCGAGAGGAGCGAGGAGACGACCGTCTCTCCTCGCTCTTCGCCGAGGTCGATCGCTCGGATTCGCTCGCAGCTCTTACAAAGGGAGCAGAAACTCTCGATCTGCAAGAAATACTTGAATCCGGAAGGCTGCGACAAGAACGTCTGTCGCTCTTTGCACATCTGCCCGAGGTTCCTGGCGGGCGTCTGCTCCCGGGTCAAGTGCGAGGACGGGCACGACATCAATGTCGCCCATAACCGTCGCGTGCTCCGTCGATACAATGTCGACAACGTCAGCCCCGAGATGTTGAGGAAGCTGATCGAGACGGACATGGTGGCCCCATATCTCTGCGAAGAATACAATCTCGGAGCGTCGTGCAATCCTGATAACTGCATCAAGATGCACCTCTGTGCCGGTTACATAATTGGAAATTGCGATGAATGCCAATTCAATCATGACATATTGGATCCTCAGTGCGTGAAATTGCTCAAGCAATCAAATGTCAGCCTGGACCGAACGAGAAAAGAACTGAAAACTTACTTGAGGAGAAATTGTTCTACGAACATAAAAGCCATCGTCAAGCAAAAGAGAACACGAGAGAACGAAGGGAAGAGTTCGCCCAAGGAACAAAGCGAGATGTCATTTAAAAGTGCAGATATGGAACATTCCGGAACGGAGACTATCAGAGCCGTGACAGGAGAAGGTCACCTGGCGGCCCGACTAAGCCGGATTCAAGATAAGTCCAGAGTTCTGCGGGGAAAGATCGGTGCCAAGACGATCGTGCAGCAGCTGGGCCTCCTTGAGAATTTCGTGGGTGAAGCCTTGGAGCGCTTGAATCGAGATCCAGCTCTCAGAGGATGGTTTCGGAAATCTCCATTCCATCCAAGGCGTCTAGATGCGTGGCTAGAGGAAAAGGAAATCGAAGCAAGGAATTTTGACGATTTTTTGAGAAAATTCGATGATGCAGGAGTGGAAATACGGGACGCCTCAACCGCAACTGACCATGAAGAAAACATGACCGTGATTACCTTCGGTTACAAAGGCATCGATCCTTCCGATCCCCTTCTCGACAGCCTAAGCGCTTGTTTGAATGAGAATCAACGGGACATGCCTACCGAAGCGACCCATTCAGTCTATAGAGATTCGGATCGAATGTTGCTCGTGTTCGAGTATCAACGCGTCTTCCTCCACTACCAGCGGGCACAAGAACACCTCGACGTGAAATTCGTAGCAGTTGAAAGAGCGGAATTGAACGGTCCCTGCTTCATCTCCCTCAGCGAAGGGGGAGGCGGAGCCCCTCAGGAATTCGTCCCTCCGGGAGAACCTTCAGGCGTTCGAGTCGTCGCCTTGTCGGACGAAGCGGCCGTGGAGGTGCATTGGAACAGGCCGGCAATCGGCTGCGATCACGTCATGGAGTTCCACGTTTGGTTCAGGGCTCTTAACGATGCGTGTGATCTTTGGAAGTTCTCGTCGGCAACATCTTCACCTGCGAAGATTCTCGGTCTTACTTCAGGGGAAAAGTACCTTTTCGCGGTAAGTTTTGTAGCTTCGGAAGGGTCTATGTATATGTAAAGCGAGACTTCAACGAGCCTTAAATGTTTATGGCTACGCTCTTCGCATTTAGGTGACTGCATTCTGTCGCCTCGGATATGGACCCAGCAGTTCAACTGTGAGCTGGAATTTCCTGACCAGCAGGACTTTGCATCAAGGAGATCCACACAACCGAATTAGCTTCCAACCACAAGAAACGGTGGGTTTTCTTGTTTCTTTCAGCTGCCATTGATATCCGTTAGATTAGTATCAATGATAAGGCTGGATTTTGTAAATATATACCATTGCGAGCTAAGAACCTCCCGAACTGAAATCCAATAACCAGTGAAATACCAACTGGACTTCATGGTTATAAAAATGCGATTCACAGGAATGCGCACATCCTTTACATGCCTACACAAGGTTACCCTAAGGCACATGGAATGTGGAAGACGAGAGGAGTAGAGAAGGTATGTCTATAAGCAGGGGGGAGAGCAGCTACTATCGGAGAGCACCTATGCTCGCTCGCGCAGCAGGATTTTCTCCCATTGCAATGGTCAACCATTTGTGCCAAAAGAAGGTGACTGGAAGTGTCAGTGTGATACCGTCCATGCATCCACGTGTATCTCATCTGTTTGGTTCGGCATCCGGTTACACGAGGAAGAGAAATCACGTAAAAGCTGGGGAGATTGATTGTTAAGTGAAGTGGATAAATTATTAATATAGATGCAAGAAAGTGGCACCGAGGTCAGCCAGGGGTAAATTATACCGTCAGTAAATTTCCAATAGTGGTCTTATAACATAATGACAATGGATATTCAAAGTGATATATGACCGAACATATTGGTAAGAAACTCCCTGCAAGTTTATCAAGTGCTGCAACCCTCAAGACATCTACGGCCATTATTTCTCCGCGTTCTTCCAACACACCACAATGAAAGAAAATAAAAGCTCATTTGATATTGAGGCAATTCAAAGCGATGCAGAGCTTTTGGAAAGCTAGTACATAGTGTCCTAGTGCACACGTTTATTCGAAGGATACCGATATAGTTTCATAAGTGCCGTGGAGAGCCAGATAGGAACCTCCCGTCACACCAACTCGGAAAGAAACGGCTAGACCTTGGCAAGACGTCTGGTTTTGTAAAATGCATCTTTTGGTTGGGCGTGTATATTGCATAGGTTCGCTCGGTTGCGCTAAGAATCCCAGCTGCCTTATCTTCGAGATATCTCCATCTCAAATGCTCCTAATTCTACATACTCTGTGAATAGCAAATAGGCAGTATTTTAACATTTCACCCGGATCTCAAAGAGAATGTACATACACGTATTTCTACAGAGAATGCTTTCATATCAAGTCAGCAAAAAATCTTACATATTTGTGCAGAAAGTATATTCTGCAGCAATTCATATGTATAAAATATAGCGTTCAAAAACATAGTACATCAGCACTTTCGATGACTTAAAAGTATACGTCGGATTTCAATCAACATCTGATATTCTTCAGGGTTAACATGTTTGGGTTTGGATTCCATTTACATTATAGGCCTTACATTAACCCACAAAAAAATGGAGGTCCGGATTCAAAAGCTATTAGGAACAAATTTTTGGGTCTAGATTGTGAGCGGCAACTTAAGGCTGATAAATGAACATTCTTTACCTGACTGGATAAATATATAAAATTGCCTCAAAACTCTTATCGCCAACAAATGATATCTCTAATTGTCTTCAGAGACTCCCACAAAGAAGTATCTCTCATGTAGGATTTATTGTAGGTCCTTGATTTTAAGCTCACATTGAGATAAAGTGGGCTATTCCTGTCAAGAGGATGTGAAGATAAGTATGGGTCCCCATAAAGGTCAATGATGCTGTTAGACTGCATAATAGCTAAGTGGGAATGAGATTAACTGCCGTCTCGGATGTTTGACTTCCCATGTTCATAGGTGAACAACTTGATCCTCTCAGCGTCATTCCTTCTCGCCACAGCGTTGGAGACTTCGAATATCAGCTATAAACAAATATGTTTCATTAGTTATCACTTGCCGAGACCCGACTGGCGCCATAGTTTTATGGTCCTCACTTTGTGCATGACCTTCTGCATTTAATGTATTTATTTCAACTCCGTAGGATATTGTACTTGCATTCTGATATCTATTATATCCCGGCAATGTAGGAAGCACATAGCGAGAACAACAGAGAGAAGAAAGACGTATCGCTGGCTCAGAAGATGAAGGCCATGTGCGAGAAATCTGCTGGCAATACCTATGAATTCCCTCGTGAAACTGTGATGAAGGACAGAGAACACAGATTGGCAAGATATGACATCGGCAGTTCACAGGACAAGGGAACAGAAAAAGTCATTATGCTTCTTGGGTCCATAGGAACAGGTAAAATTGCCGCAGCATCAGTTCTTACATGATACCGTATCCGATGAATACATACAATACATCCAGGGATCTTGGAATACAGCAAAATTGGAAGCTTATTGACAACAGCAGTGAAATTTAGAGATTAAAATCTATATAAATGAACAGTTATTGCTTTTGTAAAGTCACGAGAAACTATTATTGCAGTAAAAAATGGTGACCGTTAGTAGGAGTACGCATGATTAACATGATGCATGAATATCTCAGGAGAAAGGGATTCATGAGATACTGCTCCGGGGCACTCATTTGCCCATTATGTGACATAATGTTCTCCTTCATAAGGAATTTTTGCGACATTGGTATTCAGGTGGTTGTGCATTTTTTGTGCCCGCCAATCTGATTTGGGAGAGGCACCTGTTTAAATGTTGCTTTATTTTGCTTCAGATGCTGATTTTAAATGCTGAAGACTGTCCTAGATGCTCATTTGTTTCAGTGATCTATATATAATTTTTAGTATGATAAAACTTACGTATAAATTACCCAAAGGCGAAGAGACTTTTTTTAAATTGTGACACATCCTTAATATCATCCTATCATGTCCCCTTAAAACGGTATTGTCGTCTATTGCTGAGGATCAATAAGTCATCGTCTCAGTGTATTGCTCTTTCTCTTTTGGGAGTGTACTACTTGTGTTTTTAATGTGAGGCCTTTCTTGAAAATAAAAAATCCGTGACATTGAACAGTATATAAAGTATTTGGTTAAAAAAATGAAAACGTCTTGAGTTCTTACACATTTCTGGAGCGTATTCCAAAATCCCTACAGGGAAGAGTACTCTCATCAATGGGATTGCAAATTACGCCTACGGAGTGAAGTGGGAAGACGATTTTCGTTTCAAATTGATAACTGAAGAAGGAAACGAGAGTCACCAAGCCCAGAGCCCGACCAAGTGGATCACTGCCTACGTTCTGCACAAAGAGGAAGGATTCGCCCTTCCATACACCTTGACTGTCATCGACACTCCAGGATTTGGCGACTCTGCAGGGTTGCAGCAAGATGAAGCACTGATGAACCAATTCCGAGCACTCTTCTCCAGGAGCGGATTCATGGGTGTTGATCACCTCGACGGGATCTGTTTTGTCATGCAAGCTCCATCGGCCAGGCTCACCCCCACGCAAGAATATGTATTCAACTGCATATTGTCAGTGTTTGGGAGAGATGTCATTGACAACATATACGTGCTCATCACCTTTTCGGACAACAAAGTTCCTCCGGTCTTGACTGCTATGGAGAAAACTAACATGCCCTATAAGAAGTACTTCAAGTTCAACAATGCCGTTCTCTTCGCGGATAAGCAAAGCGAATGCGCCGAAGGTGACAAAATTTGTTGGGACATGGGTGTCACGAATTTCAAATGCTTCTTTGAAAACTTGCAGGAAATGAAACCCATGACTTTGACACTGCCAAAAGTTGTGCTGGAGGAAAGGAAACGTTTGCAGAAAGCCATTCAATTCATTCTACCGCAAATCACAGTTGGTGAGATGAAATCCTTCAATATATTATGGATTTTACAATGAAACAGGGTTATCTCTTTTCTAGTAAAAACAGGAAATGTATCATTTTCTTGCCACAGGTTTGGAGAAACTGGAGCACTTGAGGCAAGAACATGCTGCATTGAAACAGTGCCAAGAAGCGATTGAAGTAAACAATATATTTCAATACGCAGTGAAGATTCACGAACGAGGAAGAGTCGACCTGAAACCAGGCGAGTTTGTGACAAATTGCCTGAAATGCAACTTTACCTGCCACTATCCTACCACGATGGAACGTGATGACTGGAATGCAGACTGCGCTGTTATGGACGTTTTCACAGGAAAATGTCTGGTCTGTCCTAATATGTGCCATAGGAAGGAGCACATCAACACCCAGTATTGCTTTGAACTAAGCGAAAAAGAGATAATTACCTCAAGAAAATGCAATGAGAAATCCGACAATTATAACGGTGAAACCTTAAATACCGAAGCAATAGTGAAGGAACTCACCAAGGAATTCAATCGGGAGAGGTTGAAGGTTCTGCAACTCATCAAAAGAGCTTACGGTTGCTTACAGAGGCTCAATGAAATCGCCCTGAAAAAAGATCCACCGTCAGTCACAGATTTCATCGATCACCTGATGGAGCCGGAAAAACGAGAAGCCCGTACGGGCTTTACCCAAAGGATCAAGTATCTGGAATATATCCGTGCAAAGGTCGAATCAGTCATACAGCTACAGAATGACTTTGATCCGTTCAAAGTGTTCTTGAAGGAGTTTCATGAGGAAGAGTTAAACCTTTGCTTCTTCGACCCAGATCCTCTCGCGATGAATAGTCCAAAAGACACTTTTAAATCTGATGTAAAAAAAACTTTGTCCAGCGCTCCCCAATATCTGAAAAAATTGAGACGGACTGTTCCTCTTGTGATGGATGGCCCAGGCGGGTTTATTCCGAATCCTAATAGTAGGGACGTCCTCATCTGACGAACGCTAAATTTTCTCGGTGGGAAAAATCTCATCTGATGAAAGAATTTTATGTGCCGAGTTTAAATAAACCCTCGATGGATAGTTAGTGACCATGCAATAATAACGTGCAATTACATTGGACCATGCTAGTATATGCCTCTCTGGCAGAGGTGTCTGGGAATCTTTTGTTGCACGATCTGAGGGTGTCCCTGATGTCAGACTTGAAAAATGAAATGGAGCATAAAACATGGCATTGGACTGTATTTCTGGTGAATTCAAGTGTGCCACACGTCATGTAGGCTCTAATCCAATGTGTACTATAGCATGGTAGATTATTTGACATTCCAGACACGTTTCAAAGTAAATTTTCCATTTTGATTCTTGAAAAAGCTTTTCCTACACCCCATGAACTTTTATTGAAGACACCCTTCTGAGAAAACCGATCTTCGCGATGTCCGAGAAATAGTCCATTCCTACACTTCAAGTAAACAAATACGCTATTTTGCTTTCTTGCCGAATAACTAATTGGAAAGTACAAAGACACTACAAAAAATGTTGCGATGCAAAGGGTGCGAGTAATCCCTCCATCTTCCATTCGTCGTCGTACTGAAATACCTGGAGGCACGACCATGTATTGTGCGCTGAATCAGAGTTGAAAAATAAGTTTTTATCCTATAAACAAATCACTGTGATTCTCTACGGAATATCGTGGTGTAAACTTCAAGAGAAGTTTATTGACTGGAAAAAGTATGTTTGTTCTTGGAACGGTATATTATCCCACGAGCGCGGAAATACCGACCAAGGATACAAGCAGCCGTACATGCATCGTAATTTGTTCGTAAAAATTATCTAGTCCATTTCTTGACCCACACGCAAGGAAGAGTGTTCTTTCGAGTATGAACACCTGGCGTGGTTTCTGAACATATGTATATATGCAATGTAATACTTTTATGCAAGCCTTGAAGAAAAAGGTAGTGAGCTGCGACGGACAGCGAGGGTAAACAAACCAAAATCGAGGCTGATACTTCTTTTTGACTTTTCCTTGTGATTGTGATTCTCATTGATTTTTCCTTGTGAACAGGATGTGGAAAGACTGTCACATCTGTAACGTTACCACTTGAGAAAGAAGTTCGCTTTGCTCTTCATATGTCACTTGCTGCGTTTCTGAATGGTTGTTACACTTAGTATGGAGGCCCCATAGTAAATTTTACCAACACTGTCATGGTTGTTCAAGCTATTTTATAGGCTTTCTAGGACGTGCTGAAAATCCTGGTGGCAGTAACGGCGCGCCGGAACACGCGAGCTGGTGCACTATTCTCGTGCGCTATACAGACACAGCCATTCGGACCCTTTTAAATTTAGTGCAGGCAAAATCCCGATAATGACAGAACCAGAATGAAGCTGGTTCCTTCCTGCCACCGAGAGATGACACCATAGTCTAATGGGACCCGCTGTTTTGAGTTCTACCGCAATTGCCCGAACTACGTGAGATCCTCCATTTTTCAGTAAGCGAAGCAAGCACCGAAATAAGCTCATGCTGACAGTATTTGGAAGCTCAGTCACAGACGGGACAGATATGCAAAGTTATTTGTAGTTTCATCGTCGTAGTGATACTTTCTAAATTTTCCAGATGGAAACTGAATATACTTTCTTAAGAACACCTGCACTACGAGATAAATTTGTTCATCGAACGAGGTCGGGATGGTTTCATACCGAAGATGAAACGCGTATTGAGTTCCATTATGTTACCAAAAAGCTGTAGTGCCTATATACATGTTCATGCAAAAAATAGGTCGACATGGATCCATTTCGTCTTTCCGGCTTGCAAGCAACTTTGAATCTCTATATTCAATATATTTTACATGATGTACAATCACGTTCCATTATGAAAACTGCTATAAGCCGAGCTGTTTCAGGGGCTTTCTGCTAAAATCTCACAACTTCTACTTGCGTTTTCCTGCAATGTGAGTAATAAACGCTATTTTTCAATTCAGTGCAAGAAAAAAGGTTGCAGCAAAAAAGAAAAATAATTTGTTAAAATCGTGTATTTAAACATTCCGAAGAAAAAGCTACACGAGATCCTAATGATCATAACCGATGCAGGAGGTCTTCGGTCTCTGGAAATTCTTTAAAGGGTGCCTTCCGTCCACCTTGCCGACAGAATTCCAGAAAAACAACCACCGCCTGAAACAGCAGGATTGACCATTAATTGTGAATGGTTGAGCATGGTCCATGCCTCGTAATTTGAAGCGGGTAGGGCATCTATTGCTCACCATTCCCAAACACACACATGCAAATACAAAGCAAACTGTGGGAAAGTCGGAAGCATCGTAAATTGCACCTGATGTTGCCGCTCCAACTGCTTCCCTGAAAACCAAGAAATATATCATATGAATCATAATAAAAGGATGAAGCATGGTGAAATGGAAAGGCTTCATGCGTTGAGCGGTTCACCCAAATGTATGCATTGAGTTCCATATTCCGGCTGTGAGAGTCGCCGTTCCAATGCTATTCTGGTATCCAGCCAATCTGAATTCATATGAGAGTACTCGTTACTATACGTTATAACACACACGGAAGGTTTCAAAGATGGAAATCTACCTAGTTTCGAGGTTAATAATTCCATAGGTGGGAATAAAGGCAAAGGCAAAACTGGCACCTACCAGGGCCAAACATCCGATGAAGAGCTCTATTGATCTGGCAGGAGGAAGTAAAAAAAATAACAGAAACTTAAGACAAAAACCCACATAATTTATCACGAATATGGTAAATTTTTGAACCACCTGGGAATGAATATGAAAACAGGTCCCATAAGAAGAAATGCAAGGACGAGTACCAGTAGCGAGAGCACCAATTGGACCTTCATCCACTTGGGGTAGTTGTCAGTTATGTAACCAGAGAAAAGCGCGGTCACACTGTAGGATCCAGTGAGAACCATGTAGATACGGGCCGTGTCGCTCTCAGAAATTCCAAACTAATAGATAACCGAATGAAACGAGGATTGATCACCAGGATTGCAAAAAAAAACCACCTTCATGATTCAAATATGCGGAAAATTTTAGAAAGTTGTAAATCGCCTTTAAATTACCAGAACTGAATTGTCTTTTCCAATTATTATGAGTGAATTATGGAAATAATTGTTCTCAAACTTGAGTCATTGTTACAACTATGAACAGTAATAGCGGTTCGCAAATGGGACAAAAGCGTTAGCCCCAAACTAGGAAGACCAACGTGACTCACGGTAGCCTGCAAATACGGTTGCAGGATTGGATCAAAGAAGGCCCACACAGCTGAAACGATGGCGATGGCGAAACAGACAACCCACGAGCCCAAGTGAACGAAGAATGGCTTCATTGGCGGAAGACCCACGAAACGAAAGCGCGTCACTATCAGGTAAACATTATTGGGTTCATTCAGTATAATAAATGAGGAGAGTGGTTTCACGAATGGGTCTCATACGTGAACTGGATGGCAGCGCTGGGAAGGTGAAGAGAGAGGTGACAATCATTGCGGACCCCAACACGAAAAATGGTAGCTTGAATCCACCTGCCTGTTGCGGATGATACCATAATTCAGTAGTGAAGGTGATGCGTTTTTATTAAAATACGTAGGACACTCACATTGAAGCACACGCTACCAATCAGAGGTCCTAAGGTCATTCCGATCCCGATTAAGATCTCTACGTATGCCTAGAAGAGAATATCACATAGAACAGTCGGAGGTTTCCACTTCTAAATTAACGTTATTCACGATCATGTGACAGATGAAGGTCTCACGAGGACGGATCCCATGGATTTCGGGAAGAAGTGAATGATGAGGGCGAAGAAAGTTGTAGCGTAGACAACGTATCCTACCCCTTGAAAGATCCGAAGATAGAAGGAAGCTGCGATGAACCATATCCGACTCTCAATGAAATCGAGGTACCTGGATCACATTCATGAGAACTGATATTTTCATCACAATTCCTGTTCACCAATGACAGTACAGCTCGTCATGTTAACCCAGTGACTGTTCTGTGCGATTCCTCGCTTCTTCTCCTCAGGTAATCCATATTTCATATTTGTTTGCTTCATAAGTGAAGTTTACTGAATGGAAAGTTTCACATCCCCAGAATTATTTCCTCTGGTATCGTTCTGAATAAATGCATCGTGCTGGGGTTGATTCAACCAAGACAGGGGAAACATTAAGGCAGAAGACTATGCAGATGAGAGATGTCGTCCATGTTAAAATGGAAATTTGATAACTCCCAAGGTCTTTGATCTGTGCGCCAAATAAAGATTCTGATTCAATCCCACACATTATTTTATGGCTTCTCTTATATGCCGTCCTGCCTTTTTTTTCTGGGGGAGGTCCGATTTAATCTCCAAAATACTTCCATTGAACAAGTCATTAAGTTCATCAAAAAGGGAAAATACTGCATTTTGTCATTTCAGTTCATTGAAATTGCACCAGGTATTGGTGCGTCATGCCAGGAATGATCTTCGTGAACAGTGCAGTCACTTTGAATGCCTGTATTTCGACACATTTGAACTATTGTATTACAAACTACTGTCCTTCCTATAAACAATGAAATACCGGTGCAGACCGTACAACGAACTCATTTGCCGCAGTCCTGTGGCATTCTGATTCTTTCGTAAACTTGAAAACGGAATAAAATTAACATTTTATACTATTATACGGATACATATTTTGCATACAAATGCAGCTGTTAAGTAATATCCATTGAATATGTTTCTTACATGAACATTTTTGAGACAGTAGATTGCAACACCGGTACTAGGATCCGCAAGTATCACAATTCCTTACTAATTCCTCTTAAGTGACTCTCAATTCCCCAAATCCCCATTGAGACATCCGCCATTGCGACACGGGGGGAAGGACATTTAATGAAAAATCTCCATTAATTACATGTGGAAGAGAAAAGAAAAGAAGCGCCCAATCGCATATTAAGTAAACAAATCATGATTAGAGTGGGGAACAATCGCCATCAATAAATATAATAGCTACAATCTGGATTATTTTCGATGGAACCAAGAACAGGACCAGCGAAATGCAAAAACCATCTGTTCCTGAGGTGTTAGTTATACCCAAATACGAACGTTCAGTAGTTTCACTCTCGTAGGCACGGGAATATGGATCTGAGTAACTTTAAATTGACGTTGGAAAAAGGCATGAAGCCAAGCCATGATGGATTCGCACTCACCCAAACAAGAAAACGGATCCCCCGCAGAGAAAGATCCCACCCGCGATCACCCTCCTTAAGCCGATTCGGACCACCTGAAATATGTGCGAATGCAAGGACGCTTTTCTATTCCCCTAGTGGCTTAAACATGTAATGACTAGTAGGAGAGGATCGCACAAATTCGCCAACAAAGGGTCCCAAGATGAAGGAGATGAAGGAGAAGGCACCGAAGATGAGACCCATAACCGTTTCGCTAACTCCTTTCCTCAGCGCCTGTAAGGGAAGAATTCTTTGAATAATGCTCCTTGCTTTGGTACATCGTAAATAATTACATGCATAATCATACCGCGGCAGGGAAAAAGAGAGCCGTGATGGAGAACGAAGCGTATGCGAGAAAGTCCACGAGGCCACAAAAGGCGATGAGGCCGCGTTCCCTCCACGCGATGTGTCGGCATAAACGCACAAATCCACTCCCTACATCCTCCTTTGAGTTCTCCTTTTCATCCTCTATGTCGTCGCCGACTGAGCCAACGTTGACGTATGTAGTCGTGGCCATCTTCGAGGATACTATTTGTGTCAAGGGAAGGTAATTATTTTCATTTATATGACAAACCTGAAGACCAAACGACCCTGACGAGACAAGGACTAGCACGACTCCTTACATAAATATACTGTAGATCGACCATTATGTCCACCTGGGGGCCCAGGTGGATTTGGAAGAGAACCAGGTGTACCTTCCACGCGGGCATTCCTCTGCTCTGCAGCGTAATCACCTTGAGGTGTGAAGAGTGATTCCACTAGACGTGGGTATGCACTTGGCTCCAAATCCACCTGAATGTTCCCCAGGCGAACGTTTCTCCTCCACGCCATTTGATTTTGACGAAATTTTACTTGTCAAATTGAGGCGTTAAAGACTGAAACATGCAACGGTATCAATAAAGATGCTTTAATGATATCACCATTGTGAAATAAATACAACATTATATATTTTAATGAAATATGTATTCATAGGGCGAAGTTCATAATACTATGGATGTACCCTGGCAAAACTGCTATTCACTTCTTTCTTCTTTTTTTAAAATCTTGCTGCATTATAAGCTGATGGTAGCTATGGAGTATTCGAGCCTCAACATGTCTACCATGATGTAAATTGGTTGCAACCATTCTGCCAGGCAAAAACGACCATGGCTACAGTGAACTTCAGTAAAGGGCCAAGATCATAAGCTCTTTCTCCTTGAAGAAGGAAGTGAGATGGCAACTGAGTGATTTCATGTCAGTTCGGAGACTTTTTTCCCCCGGCCCCCTCCAATTTCAACGAAATTCGGCATGCTCATAGTGAAAAATGAGGGGAAAAGAGAGCAAATTTCAGCTCCTTATAATATGTATTCAGAGGATGACAGTCAATCAACAATTCGCCATTTCTGGGGCACTTGGGACAATTAAATTCATATTCTGCGTGAGGGAATTACCCGCTCACCCACATATATTTCGAGAGCATTTTAACGCGGCAGCACCAGTAGCAGGTACTTAAACATTACATGTTCTTCTAGCGTCCGACCGACATAACACCTACTCGTAAAAATACATTCCTTGGCAGAAAACGAGAAGGAAGTTAACGTTTTGAAGGCATAATTCGCGCAACATGCTCGGTGAACTGATATACCGCTAATTCGAAATGATTACGACAGATTACTGGTGATAAGTGAAGCGGATGTACGAGCCCGTGGCTCTGGTGTTGTTCGATACTGGCGCATGTTATGAAGATCACGCAAAAAAACGCTCATATCTCTGTTGATTTCAAAAACCCAAAATGAAATTCGCGGTGTACTTGAATGAAGTCATGACTGATGATGTCTTATAATTTTTGCGAAATTGATTGTAGGAACTTAGGTCATGGTCAGGTCAAATTTCAAGGTCATGACCTTCATCACCATGTGTTACACGTCACCTGATCGGGAATTGTATAACCCATCCAACGATATCATATTCACGGCTTTATCTTCATTACTTAAGTATGATGAGTTATGACAATTTTTGTGATCCCTGGATCAAAAGTGCCCTAAAAATTGCAAATTTGTTTTACTGTAATTCTAAGAATACATAATGTATGGAGCTGAAAAGTCTTTTTTTCTCATTAGGTACTCCCAACAAGCCGAATATCATTGAAATTGTAGGGGGTCGGAGAAAAAAGTGAGCAGACTGACATGACCCAATTAAAATAATTCCCTCAACTTTCGGCCTCAATCCTCAACGGATATCACGAAAGTAAATACGAGGTGTGGCTATTAAGTTTCCAGACTTTATTTTTGTATTTTTTACTTTTAAACTTACAAATTAATCACATTCATCGCCTTCAAAGTACTCCCCTCCCGAACGTATACACTTATCCCAACGATGCTGCAATTGCTGGAAACAGCGGTGGAAGGCTTCTTTCGGGATGTCTTTCAGAGCCTGCATCACATTTGTTTGAATGTCTTCAATGCTTTGAAATCGATGGCCTTTCAAAAAATTTTTGAGTTTGGGAAATAGCCAAAAGTCACTGGGGGCTAAATCGGGCGAATACGGCGGGTGATCCATTTCAGTGATCCGTTTGGCGGCCAAAAACTCTCGGACAGACAGGGCTGTGTGAGCCGGCGCGTTATCGTGATGCAAGATCCACGAGTTCTCCTTCCACAGATCGCCCCTTTTCCTCCTCACAGCCTCACGCAACCTCTTCAAAACGTTCTGGTACAACATCTGGTTGACTGTTTGTCCTTCTGGCACGAATTCGGAGTGGACGATTCCGTTGACATCAAAAAAACAAATCAGCATCGTCTTGATTTTCGACTTCGACATTCGGGCTTTTTTCTGTCTCGGTGAATTTGCAGTTCTCCATTCAAGGGATTGACGTTTCGTTTCCGGATCATATTGATAACACCATGTCTCATCTCCAGTGATGATTCTCTCCAAAATATTTCCTTCTCCAGCTCTTTCTGAGAGATCCAAACAAACGTCCAATCGCCTTTGTTTTTGTTCAGCTGTCAGCAATCGAGGCACCATTTTCGCTGTCACCTTTCTCATGCTCAAATCATCCTTCAAAATCCGTCGAACAGTTTCTTTATCTAAATTCAACTCTTCTGCTATCATTCTAATTGTCAACCGCCTGTCTGAACGCACTAAATCCGTAACTTTTGAGACATTTTCAGGTGTTCGTTTGGTGATTGGCGCTCCACAACGCTGGTCGTCATTGACGTCTTCTCTTCCCTCTTTAAACCTTTTATGCCACAAAAAAACTTGCGCTCTTGACATAGTATGATCACCATAAACTTTTCTTAACATTTCGAGCGTTTCAGTTGCGGATTTTCCCAGTTTAACACAAAATTTGACGTTAGTTCTCTGCTCGAGATTATGCTCCATTTCAAATCCGCCAGCGCAAACAAATACGGTCTATCTTAACTGGCCGCAGCTCGCAGAGCGCTGGTCAGACCACACTGAAACTTGCCCAGCTATAAGCTAAGACTCCCCTCCATGTTACTGTCATAGCCCCACTCCCCTCCTCTCTCTCAAAGTTCAGCAATAAAACCAGTCTGGAAACATAATAGCCACACCTCGTATGTATATACATGACAGAAAAACCATGGTATTAGTGCCTGCTAAGCTGGCAAGCAATAGCATACGGAATTCCTTCCTGCCTAGATGGCCTATCATTTTCAGCGATAAAGAATCGTAGGAGAAAGCAGATAAGGGTTGTTTCCCCCTGATAGCCAATAAATTTATCGTGGCGTGGGATGCGGAGCAGTCATGTCGTGCTTGCATGCTCCGAAGATCTTCAAATGCAGTCAACTAGAACATAACAAATATCTAAATACTCATGAGTCAATGTGTAAACCATTCTTCAAAGCCTTTCCCTTTTTTGAACTTCAACCTCAACCCCACCATCCCCAATTTTACGGGACTCACTAATATTAGGCCTAGGTCTTCTGGTTTTTTTTTTAGACGTATCTTTGAGGACGTGTAACGTTAGGCCAATCGCAGCCCTATTCATACTTTCTCGAACCATTTCAGAGAAGGACGTGCAACGTTACGCCTATTTTGAGTTCCTCGAACCATCTCGACTGGTTCTGAGGAGAGAACGCCTCAAAGAAGCATGAAATACAAGCAGGGCGCCATCCTTTTATTTCGGGGATGTCCGGATGAGACATTTCCATTTTTCACTGGAGTATTCTCCTTTTCGACTGTAAAATGATTCTCAATGGAACAATTTTATTTTCCCAGTTACGTGAATGCTTCTAGTTGGATTTGATACTGAAGCTAATGCATACATTGCGAAAGTTTTGCATGTAGCACAAAGAGGGTAAAGGAGAGTGAATTTATGAAGTGCTGAGCACCGCAAAGAGAGGAGAAGGTATGTATTAATTGCATGTTTTGATTTGACAAAACGTTTCGCTTCCTTGACACTGAAACCCAGGAAACAATTGTCGAGCGCAAGTGAAATACACAATGAAGACCTTGAGTTGAAGATCGTAAACTTCGCGGAATTTCTCGTCCTTTGTACGTGAATAAAGTATGTGGGACACTAATTAGTGTGTTTATACGCCCAGCTTTGTTATATTTAATGGCTACAGCTATCAATATTTTTTAGTGAGAAATCGCTCACTCAGGAGGAAATGCGAAACCTCATGGCAACAATGCGATTTTTCGAGAAAGAAAAACATTACTTTCGTCACATTCAACAAGCTACGGAACAAGCTCTGTTGACACATTAGTTTGCATGGCATTTATTAATATCTAAAAAAAAATGGAAATGCACACCCAACGCTTCCAGAGACCGTGCCCGGAATATCTGGCAGAAAATTGGTCACAACGATGATCCAGGCGCCTTTTCACGTAACTTCCTAACATTCGCCTTGGAATTGCCACTCGAACATTTTGAATGAAGAATTTCGCACAGAGAGGATAACCGTCTCGCTGGCACGTACGATCCAGACACATCCGCCGAAAAGCAGAATATGCTGCGAGATAAAGCCGGGGCTGGGACGACTTACGGTTGTGGGAAGGAGCATGTGCTGGCTGGGACTGGTTCCAGCTGTCGCGCTTTCCTGGTTCCTGGTTTCCACTCAATCAACCCACTTCCAGTTCCAAGTGCATATAGCAAACTTATTCATTGCGATGACAATGGTTCTTCAGGATTGGCAATTAGGGCCACCTAGCTTCCGAATCCTCTTGTGCTCTTCGCATGTGTCTCGTTTCCTTTGCCTGGAATGCTTCAAATGAGAGCAATTCAGTATCTCCGTTCAATATGTCCGATTCATTATTTTTATGAATTGGGTTTTCGAAGATGATTTGGGCAACTTCTCCATCGAGACTGTAACTAATTTCCGGTTCTCAAGGAAAACTTCAATCCAAAGATAAGATAGGAAAGAGATAAATGCGTCTTGGGAAGTTCGTTATCGAAAATGAAAAAAGCGTTGGGAACGCCGAGTCAAGATTGGCAGAAGCGACGATTGATTTGTTTTCATCGATTTCCATGAGGTTAATGCCGGGGAGATGCCAAATGAAAAGAGACATACAAGTTCTGATTTTTCTAAACACAGCTTCCTGCACCATGAATAATACAATGATGTGGTGTGAAAAGCATTATTCAAAGGTTTTTCCTTTTCTCAAACCCTCTCCCCCTATACGGGACTCTAACTTTAGGCCTAGGTGTAACCCACGGACTGTCTTTAGGTCAGGCCAGACGTACATTATTTCCTTCATTGAATCTCGACCCTCGACTTATTAGTCATCAGCAATTAGGCTCATCTGGGTGAATCTCAGAATTATCGAGACACATGCGAGGAAGTATAACGTTAGGCCTATCAAGATTTTCGCTTACCATCTCGACGAGGTCTGAGCACTGAGCTAAGAAATATAACTGGAGATGGCGCGGCCATAGGAGTAGCATAGGAAAACGGGTGCATTTTGAAGCCATATTGGTTGGGTTTAGGCTAAAGCGGGCCTGCGGTGAGCATTGGCCGAGTAATGGAGCAGGTACCGCGGACCATGACTGCCTGCCATCATGATCACGACAGCAAGAAAACTGGGATGGGAAATTATGAAAATCCCATTGTAGTGAATGGAGAAGAGCCACCACAGACCCAACTAAGATGGCTTCCAATTGCCCCAAATCCATTGTATTGTGCGCCACCTCCAGTTCTATTTCTTAGCTCAGTGGGTCTGAGGAGAGAATGCCTCCGAAAGTTCGCATGCGTGTTGGACGCAATCCCGCTAACTCAGGGATGTCCGTGCACGACACCTCCACATCCCACCACATCGATCGGCCGTGCTGATTACCGTCTCAATCTCGGTTCAGCCTGTGAAATCAGCACAAAAATGCACCATACGTTGAGAAACGGAATATCCAGAGAGCGATACGAAGACGGAAGCAGTCATGAATCCGACATGACTCCAGCACAATATCCGGCAACCCTGGGAACGGGACTCAAGCCCGCACGCCTCAGTGAA